ATGTACTTAATTATCATTGTCATTAATACCCTGGAGAGTATTGTATTCTTTCAATTATTTATTTATTATGAATTTAATAAAGGCGATATTTTCACGCCCATTTTTCTTATCATACAAGCAACGAAGATATATTTTTTACGGTTGGAAGATATAGTTTACGAGCGTGTGACCACACATGCTTCATACGCGTGAAGAGGAGATCTTGCAACCAATATTCCACATTTTGAATTTACAATAATCAGTATTACCTTTCTGAGATCAATCAGAAAAGGTAGGAGGTAATTAAAGACAATTGGGCAGATAAAATCACAAAATATAAAACATAAAAGAGAAACGGACTAATGGAATGTGGCCGAAAGGGTACTAATTGTTATTGTTACCAATAAGCTATAACGGCAAGAGGACTAACAGCCAAGAAACTATAGTGAAACGCAAGCTTTCTTGTGGTTAAGTGTAGTGAACAGAAAGGTGCGATATATTCCTTTGCAATAACGTGCAAGATTCTCTCAGTTCCAAACAAATTATAAGTAAGTTGTGTCCCAATTTACGTGAGGCATTTTTCAGTCAATGGACCTGATATTTGCTAAGTAGATGGCTTAAGATAACTGATCCTGTTTTTTGCATTCTTATCTTGGCTAATCAATTCAGCTTTCTTAACAAAGAGAAAACAAAACTAAGAATTTATTGCAATAAAATAAAAAAGTACCAAAATACATATTTGTCCAAGTGATTGTTAAGTAGATGAGTCATTTAACAAGTCTCCAAACAGACAAACATAAGAACATATTTCACCGTTGTTAGCAAGTTTATTGTCATTAGCAAGTTTTAAATTATTTAGACCTAACGTGCGAAATTATATAATTAAAAGCAACAAGTCACTTTTTAATTATTTCTAGATGATTAGATCAAATAAGTCAACTTGTTCTAAGTTTAAATACCACAGTCAATAATTAAAGCAATAAAGATACCAAAGATGATCACGGAAAAAACCCAACGGGTAAAAACTCTAGGCATTTTACCAATCAATAATCCACTATAAATCGAAATAACTTGTCAATAATCCACTATAAATCGAAATACCCTGTAAAATTTCTTACCTCAATTCCTGCAGTCTCCCTTAATCTTACTGGAGGTGCACTCCTTCAAAATAAATCTCGACTCTTAGTTTATATCTTAAACCTCCTAAATTGAGTGCTCCTGACGTTGATCTCAACTCCTGCTATCTCACCTTAGTCCTCCTGAACTTGTGATTCTGCAACAACTCCATATCCCTGGTATCGATTTATCTTCGTTGGATTAGGTGGTTTGGTGTTTGATCAAAAGATCTTGTATGTTTTGTTCTGTAGTTTAATACGAAACAATATGGCTTGATCGACAAAATATGATTTGAAAGAATTTATGAATCAAGTAATATGTGGTGGTTGAATCATGAAATCAATGAATGTTTTGGATCATCAAAGAATTGATCTATATGGAATAAATCTAATTCAACACACTTTTGGACGTTCATGGGGTGAGATATATAGGAAAAGTGTTTGAGATGAAAAGGGATTGAAAAACCAAGTGTTTAAAGCAAAACAGATTTCTGAACATCGACCCGTCGCTCTAACATTAGAATCTAGTAACACACAAAAGATGTTAAAACACACAAAAATAGAATAGAAACAAAAACAAATATAATGTATGCATAAATCAATGTCACACGATGGTAAAGAACGAGCATGCACCAAAAATACCTAATCAATGAGGCACACAAACACCAATAGCCATCTAAGAGATTCAAATCTCAGACCATCTAATGGTTTGATAAATAGGCCAGCTAACTGGTTCTCTGTAGAGATGTGCTCAAGGGTTACAACACGTGTCTCTACAAGCTCTCACATAAAATGATGTCGTATATCAATATGTTTGGTTCGAGAGTGTTGAACATGATTTTTGAAAATATTAATGGCACTAATGTTATCACAAAAAACAGTTATAGTACCCTGTTCAATTCCATAATCACTCAACATCTGCTTCATTCAAAGCAGTTGAGTGCAGTAACTTCCTGTATATTCGGCCTTTGCCGTGGACAATGAGATATAATTTTATTTTTTACTCATCCAAGCGACAATATTAGCACCAACATAAAAATAGCATCCAGAAGTACTTTTTCTATCATCAAAATTTCCAGATCAATCGGCATCGGAATAACTAGCAAGATCAAGATTAAAGTCTTGAGAGTACATGATCTCATAATCAACGGTTTCATTGACATATCTAATGATATGTCGCACGACGCTTAGGTGGGATTCCTTGGGATCAGCCTGAAAACGCACACAACCCTCTACACTAAAGGCTATGTCAGGTCTACTAACAGTGAGATAAAGTAAAGTTCATATCATACTCCTGTACAGTGTCTGATCAACACTTTTTCTTGTAGGATCATGATCTAACTTGACACTGGTGCTCATGGGGGTTCTAGCGTGTTTTTTGCTGTCTAATCCAAAGCGCTTGACAAGGTTTTTTGCATACTTCGATTGAGATATGAACATCCCATCATCAGTTTGTTTAATTTGGAGACCTAGAAAGTAATTTAATTCTCCAATCATACTCATCTCAAATTCTTACTTCATGCATTCAGCAAAATCATGAGCAAGAGCATTAATAGGAGAACAAAAAATAATGTCATCGACATAAATCTGAGCTATGGTGATGGTTTCCTCAATATGTCTGATGAATAAGGTTCTATCCGCACCGCCTCTTGAAAAATCATGTTCCATGAGATATGCAGTAAATCTATCATACCAAGCTCTAGGAGGTTGTTTAAGACCATATAAAGCTTTATTCAACTTGTAGACATAATGTGGAAACTTATTATCAATAAATCATTTAGGTTGTTCAACATAGGCTTCTTCTTGAAGTTCAAGAAAGCACTCTTGACATCCATTTGATATAATTTGAATCCTAACGTGCAGCCAACATCCAAAAGAATTCTAATGGACTCAAGTATAGCTACAGGGGCAAATGTTTCATCAAAGTCAACTCCTTCAACTCGAATATATCATTGGGCAACTAACCTAGCCTTATTTCTAGTTATGGTACCTCGATCATCGATTTTATTCTTAAATATCCATTTAATACCTATAACATTACAATTATCAGGCCTAAGAACTAAATCCCATATGTTGTTCCTGACAAATTGATTTAGCTTCTCATGAATCGCATTTACCAACATTCATCCCTAAGGGAATCTTCGACTATTTAGGCTCAATTTGAAACACATAACTAGCATATGTCAGGTTATTCAAAACCCTCTTACGAAGTATCATCCCTTCATCCAAATCTCATAGAATATTCACTTTAGGATGATTAGTCTTAACTCTGGACGAAAGTTCCTCAGGAGGTTTAGTTTTATCATCATGTGAGGATTCTTTATTAGGTGTATCTAAACCATTAGAAATGTGTGAGGGATCGGGAATTGAAGTTTCTTTAGGTTTAGTTACCATGACGGGATCAAAACTCAAGTGTTCAAGCTCTATCCAATCTCCCCCTCACTACAGGCATCATCTACCACTACATATCGTATACGAGAATTGTATACACAATAGACTCGACTATTTCTGGAGTATCATAGGAAAATTCCCTCATCACTTTTGGAATCAAACTTGTCCAAATTTTCTCTATCTTTCAGAATATAGCACTTCCTACCAAACACATGAAAGTACTGACAGTAGGTTGTTTACCTTTCCAGATCTCATATGGTGTCATATCAGTTTTAGGTTTAAGATAAATCCTATTTACTATATGACACACAGTGTTGATAACGTCACTCCAGAAATACATAACTAGCCCTTACCTTGAAGTATGGCTCCAGTCATTTATTGAAGCACGCGATTTTTCCTTTCAACTACCCCATTTTGTTGTGGAGTGATCGGTGATGAGATATCATACTGGATTCTCTCCTCTAGGCAGAAATTCTCAAAATTCGAGTTTTCATACTCTTTTCCATCATCACTACGAATTCTTGATATGGTAAAGTCTTT